GATGAATGTTGACTTACAGGTTGGATATCAATGAAACCTTCTGAACTTCCAGGTTGATGGGTCTGAAACTCTTCCTAATGAGTAAGGTGGAGCAGGGAGGAGAACTGGCAGCAGCTCCAGAGCTACATCACCTTCTGTATCAAACATAAGTTAGTGTTAAAATGTTACAGTAACTAAAAAGCATGACAACATTTTAGAGAACATTTCTTCTGAGCTTCAATACCTTGAGGGAGCAGACTCATGTTCTTGGTCATGCAGAAGGTCTTCGTTGAGAACGAGGAGTTTGGGTTTCGCTTAATTCTCCTGAAGATCCTGGATGTAAAATTACAAAATCTATCAGAAAAGACAAAATCACAAAGAATGACTGAATTAAATCTTATAGCTGTCTCAACTGCAAATAACTTGTAATTAGCCAGCAATTTCAAATGTTCAGAGTAATTTTATGTTCCTAAAAATAAATATAGCACTTAATAAATTAAATGACACATATTATTTAATTTAGAAGTAAAACTTAACTTAAACACTAACTTAGTGCTGAATAACTTTCAGCACCAACTTTAAATAAATGTATTATAAATGTATTTGTAGTTAATAGTAACAATAATAAAATTAGCAAACATTAACATTATATATTGTCTTAGTTTTGCTTTTAACTCGTTGCCGAAAACCAGTACCGGGAGACGGTCGTTCTCTCTCGGCTTAACGAGCCTCATGATGACCCGGTCAACTGACAGAGCGGGCGAGACGAGCCGGCGGCTGCAGGGGAGCGATAAGTCCGAACACGTCCGCGCATGTTTGTAATTAAGTTATATGTTAATAAACCAAGCGCATAATTTAGGTTTACACAACTAATTTATCGCCTAATAACTTTGCAAAAGTTATTTTATTTTCAAAAAGCATAATATACCCACATTATTAAAGCTCTGCTCGCTCTCCTCCGCCATTACTGCTGGTGTTCGAACACGTAGCCTCAGCCCGCTAAGGATGCGCGCGCATATTGAACCCTGCTAGTGAACTAAGCCCGCGAAAATCAGGGGACAAACCGTCAACTACCTTTTCTTTTAAAACTAAATCGATTTTTAAAAATTTGACTATGTTAAGTTACGAACAAATATGATTGAGGTTATATTAAAAACTGAATTTAATTTACTTGACAAATTGTGCCCTTCCCCTTCATCTTTTTTTTCCAACAGCCGTGTTGTAGCAACACCGAAGCTCTTTGTCAGAGCAACCTACCGTAATAAACATTTTAAATAACCATAAAAATAAATAACATGTTCGAAATACATCTATTTATTTATAAAATCCTATTCACGTTGAAACTTTATCTTCTTTTTACTTACCATGTCTTATTTCAAAGTAGAGAAGTCCGATATGCAACGTTCACAGATTTGTTGAAAATAGAGGCTTGTGAAGAGGGGCGTGGCTTCTCCCAAGTTTCGTCTTTAACCCAACCGTTTGGGTAAATCTACCCAACACTGGACCCAACAGAAGTGTGCAAGCCGTAGACTTCCGGTAAATTTCTGACCCAACATGAGTTATGAATTTTGACCCAATATTTGGTCAAACTAACCCAACCTATGACCCAACAGCTTCAACCCAGAAATTGGGTTATGAAAATAACCCAGCATTTTTTACTGTATATATATATATATATATATATATATATATATATATATATATATATATATATATCAGTCGACTGATACTTATATAGATATAAACATGTCTACATATCTACATCTATGTATCTATATACCTACTTCTCTCTATAAATATATATACTAGAGAGAGGTAGATATATAAATGTATCTATATATAGATTTATATATATTTATAGAGAGAGACAGATATATAGATTTAGATATCTCTCTCTATATAGAGAGATACGTCATATATATATATATATATATATATATATATATATATATATATATATATATATCTTGCCCAGAAAGATAGTTTTTGAATTTTTTTCCCTCCAATTTGTATAGGTTAGACTTCTAAAATGCTATTTTTTTCCCACGTTGTTCAAATTGTTTTCCTAAATATCCCTTTACATTTAATTAATAAATGTGGTTGTGTTATTTTATGTTTATAATTACAAATACAAATTTTACAAAGGATGAACATGTTGAATGTTGGGAAGCCGACGCACCCGGAGTGAACCCACACCTACAGGGGGAGACATTTCCCATTGTGCAGTATAGGTTAGACTTCTAAAATGCTATTTTTTTCCCACGTTGTTCAAATTGTTTTCCTAAATATCCCTTTACATTTAATTAATAAATGTGGTTGTGTTATTTTATGTTTATAATTACAAATACAAATTTTACAAAGGATGAACATGTTGAATGTTGGGAAGCCGACGCACCCGGAGTGAACCCACACCTACAGGGGGAGACATTTCCCATTGTGCAGTCTTGTCTTTTTAATATTAATATGTCCAATTAGCAATAACAGCAGCTCTTTTTCCAATTCCCGCCAATCACCCAAAATACATGTGGCCCCACCCCCCTTTTAAATCTAATTTACTGTTGATGTCTGCGCTGATAGTTCTTAATGTCCATCTTTGAATTGGCGCCGAGATGTTTGCGTTAAAGCATTTTTAATTCTCCTCCTCAGTGAGATCCTCTTCCTGGGACTCTCTTCTTGTTCCGACATATTCTTTTGTTCTGCTGACTCTTCAGCTGCTTCAGGTTCTGATTCCTGGGGTATCGTTTGGATCTCATCTTTCTTTGATGTAACCTTCATCCGTGGAGGGGGTGTCCTTTGTTCTTCCATCAGGCCGCTCTCCCCTTCTGTGGTACCTACTGGAACCTCACCTGTGACGTCTTCTGAAATAGAGCAAAGTTTGGTCTGTATTTGTTCAGAAACTTTCTCGATGATCTCTGGTTTTGTTTCTGAATCAGGTATTGATGTCTCAGTATTTTTATCATCCTGCTGGTCCCCACTTTGCTCTATTTCAGGGATTTCATCTTCAGTTGCCAGCTCTGAAACTTCCTCTTCAATGTTTTCTACACAAACGTTGTCATTTTTGGCTGTTTCCCATTCAGAGAGAGCTTTCAGTGCTGCCTTTCTCTTGTTTTTATTCTTAATTTTCTTTGATATTTTTTTCAATTCATGATCCCCATTCTTTTGGCTGTCAGAGATCATTGGCTCTTCTGAGATATTTTTGGGGCTATAAATCATTGCTTCAGTCATATGAATGTTATTTTTGACTGCGATTGTCTCATCCACATCTGGTACAGAAGCTTCTTCACTGTTTTTTCCTGAAACGTCCTTGTTGACGTTTTTCAATTCAGAGGCAGCTTTAATTGCTGCCTTTCTTTTGATCCTCCATTTAGCTTTCCTCAATGGTTTTTTCTTGTCTTGCTGGTCCCCATCTGGTTGGTTTACAGAAACAGCTTCTTCCTCACTGATCTGCTGTAATGTAGCGATCTCTGTTTCTTTTCCATGACTCTCATCTTTCAGAGATGAAAGATGAGTACTGAAACTTTTTGTACTTCACTGTTTGGTTCAGAATCTTCTTTACAGACTGCTTCCAATTCAACTGTTAGATGGACTGGTTCTAATCTATAGCTGGTTTCCAGCACATCGATCTCCGTCTGAGTTGAAATCGTTCGGCTGACTGGTTTCAAGGTTTCCAGCACATCAATTTCCGTTTGCGTCGAAATCGTTCGACGGTCTGATTGTAACCGATGGCTGGTTTCCTCTTTGTCCATCTCGTTTGTACCGAAACAGATCGATAATGGACGGTTTTCTGCTGTGGGCGTTCTTGTGAATCCGTCTGAACTTTAACAGAAACCATTGAGTTCTTCCTTTGGTTTCTTTCTGAGACTCTTTTCCTTATTAAATCTTTCTGGTGTCTAAGTTTGGCACTAAGTTGACGATTTGTACCAAACATGTCATCAAGTTGTCTCATTAAAGATTTCTGCATTTTGATGTATTCCATTTCAGTCTCCTTAAATTTTTCAAGACATGTGCACGTTGCTTCACTTTTGTTTTCAGAAGACTGGGGTAAATTCTGATTTTTACTTAAACCCTCTCCTTGAATATTTTCTTCTGTCTGACTATCAGGAACCTCGGTTAAATTCTCAGCAATAAAACTTAAATCTATCCGAGGTTCTGAGTTGGGGAGCACTTTCCAAAATGTCCTCTTTCTGCTGCTGGGCAAAGCAGAATGATGACTTTGATTTTCCGGCAGAGGACCGTTAGCGATGTCACTTTCTGTAAAAAACGTTAAATCTATGGAAGCGTCTGGCTCGGGGAAAGATTTCCATATCAGTGTCTTCCTTTTGATCCGCTTAGTTTTTGTTGTCCATTTCTCCCCTTTTTGATCTGTTTTGTCAGAACAAGACTTAGAGGACTTCTCTACCATATCGATTTTTTCCTGCTGACCGGAGATCGATGGTTTTTCGGAAACTTCGGTAATGCCTTCTGTTCCAGTTCCTTCAGCTGAATTGCTTGGTGCTTTGGCAACTGATTCATTGTCATTTTTGTCCTGCTGTCCGATATTTTCAGCAGACTTCTTTGTCTGCTGCTCCAACCAGACTGCAAACGACACCTTCTTCTTCTTGCACTTGGGTTTCTCGGGGATCTGTAATTCCCTTTCGATGTCGTTGAATGAAGCCTCTTTGATTCTAGGCTGGTCGGACTGCATTGTGACCTTTGTTTGTGTCTGGTTCTAAGATAAATCACTTGTCTAAAACTCAGTACAGATTTCTCGTTAAGTTTGATGTAAATCTCCAAAAGAAAAGTACACCAAACAAGGTTGAAAATCTAACCGTGAACTGCTAAGTCAATTCTCCACACTCTAAGAAATAATCCTGTAAATTTACAGTAACATACTGGCAGCTATAGGTGCCAGAAGTTTACTGTAAATACACAGTAGCTGTACCGTAATTAATCCTGACAGTAGTTTACCGTTTCTTGAAAGAACGGTAAAAGACTGGCTTCTGTAGATGCCAGTTTACCGATCTTTTGAAAGAACGTTAATCTACGTTTTTCTTAAAGAACAAAAAAAAAAAATACTGGTAGCTACAAACGCCAGCTTTTTTTTTTTTTTTACAGTTCTTTCCAAAAAACAGTTTAAAGAAAAGCTGGCGTCTGTAGATACATTTACCTTTTCAATCCTGTACCTTTTAAAGTGGTGTAGTACTGCAAGTAAATACGGTAATGACGCCAACACACTGCAGATGTGGTACCCTCAACAGGGTTTATTAGAAATCAAAGCGAGTTGCTATTCCTTAGGCTGCAGCTCGCGCCTCTAACAAACCGTTACACTCAACTGAATAGCTTCACTGCTAACACACTGAACTCTCCGCTCTTCTGGTGTTCTGTCAGATCAGCATCGGTCCTGGTCCTCCCGCTCCCCTGATCCCCCGCCCACATGACAGGTCCATCACATGTGAGTGGAAGTCAGCAGAGTCAGAAAGGGGAACCCCATAACCGTCTACACATAACAGTGATGACAATGCAACTTATAACAAATACATATAACCATATGGACACAAGCAGAACTAAAATACACAATCGTTAAAATACTACGGTGGTCGACAGGTGCAAATGCACAGCAAACACGAGAAAAACAAATACAACAAAGAAAGGACGCAAACAAAAAAGACATGCAAAAAATATACATAAAAACAAGTATTCCAGACCACTAGAGCTTTGTGTCCGAGTTCAGGGTCTGCATCCTTTCAAGCTTATTCTTTTATGGGCTTGAAAAACGACCCGGTCTACGGAAGAGGGTTCCTGCGAAGGCAAAGAGCATTGCAGAGAAGCTGTAGCCTTCAGCTAGCTGCCTAGCCTCCACCTCGGCGTTATGTTGCTTAGCAACCGTGACACGATTTATACAATGTTTGTAGGCGAGAATGTAGATGTATAAATCTCACATTTCTGCTCGGTTCATCAGTGCATCACCTAATTGCAATATTGCTCCAACGTTTTCGGAGATGTCTGCTCCCGCTGCATTAACACCCAGCTCCGCTTGCCTGCTGCCAGCTGGTCCAGGTTTAGAACACCTGACTCATTTGGGCTTTCCCAAATGACAGTTAAACACAGATATTAAGTCAGGTAACATCTAGTTGTAATATTTTGGTTCACTCAAATACTTCATTTATTCCTGAGCAAACCCTTATCTTATGGAATTTTTTACTAACACAACGGATGCGCGCGCAACCTGACTGCAGAAAAAGTCAGCGAGCTTTTAACTGTCACTTGTTGCCATAGTTACAAACCATTACCTTGTCGTTTTGACGTTAGCTAGCATGTTGTCAGCGTAGCTAGCTTAGGCTACTATGACTATTTAAAATTGAATGATAAAATAAGTTATGCTACTAAATTGACATTAATGAACGGGATTCTATAAATGGATGAGAGTTGTATGGTGGTTAGAATTTTATGCTCTTATTTTGAAGAACGGTATATTTCTTATTCGTGTGCGTTGTGACATACCCCCCTTTCTGTTTCAGTCTATCTGTTTGGGGGGTTTTTTCGGAGAAATTGTTTTATTTTCAAGAATTTTTATGTAGAACTCCGAGAGAAGCGCATTTAAATAACCTTTTTTTTAAGCTGAGTTCACTGTTGTCGGAGAGAAAACTATCAACAGATAGTTTAACAGAAAATGTGTAATTTTATTTCAGTATGTTTATTGTACCTTTTATGTCTTGCCCTTGGCTTTTTTTTATTCATTTATTTTTTATGCCTCGGTTCTCTTGCTGTAGTTTGGGTGCAGGATTCATCTATCAAGGAAATTGTTATGTTTTTCGACAAAAATCTTTTGTTTTATATTTGTTGAAAATGGACTAATATAACTGTGTTATAATAACTCAATTTAAGAGCTCAGGAAGTCGTCTGAGTAATGTTTGTTGTGATTGGTTCGTTGTAATTTCAAGCTGCCAATAGCCGTTGTTGTTGTATGAGCACATCTTCAGTGTTAGATGAGCGGAAAGTTGACGAAGTAATCGCTGGAGACCGGCAGCGTGTAATCAACCAATCAATCAAATTTTATTTGTATAGCACATTTCAGCAGCAAGGCATTTCAAAGTGCTTTACATAATTAAAATAAAAACAGCATGTGAGAAAGATAAATGTAAATGAATAAAAGTAAGTTTCGTTAGTATTTAAGCAGGATTTGTATGTCTGTGCAACTTAAATACATATATATGACAATTTAAAGAGTTAATATTATGATAATGTGGTTTGTGGTTTATTTGTGGTCTCTTGCTACCATCGGCTGGACAACTTAGAAATAACTGTTTAGAGCGAGTAAAAATAATAGCTTTTTAAAAATTGTCTTCTGTATTTCTTGTAGACCACTCTAAGCTCTATTAAAGAAAGTTTGGACCTGAAATCTTGTGGTGGCTGTACCTTAAAGAACTAACACTATCCATAAAGGGAGCACAACAATTATAATAAAATATGTAACTGAAAAGAGGCTTTTTACTCACTGGCTTAACTGATGCTAGTCGACGTAAAAATTGCGTCAAGTGACAATATGTGATAATTTTTCATGTGCTTGAATATGTTGGATGCAGTCAAGTGATGACTTTTAGAAATATTCACAACAGTGATGTGCGGTCTCATCCTGTCTGTACATACCAATAAAATGGCTAAAAACATGTAATATATGAACTGATTTTTCATAATTTTGCTTATAATGTACAGGTTATTTTTATTGTCACCAACTGTGTGTATAACATGTTTCGTGTGCTGAGGAGCGATCATAAACGGCAGAGAACAGACTTGAGGTGAGGCAGTTCTCTTGCCTCATGGCAGGGGGCGCTCATGAGCGACATTTCCGGATGTGCGACATTTCCATGTGAACAGTAACATGCAGGAGCTCTATATTTGTAAATATGATTATAATTAAGTCAGTCCCTCACCAGCTATGAACCTCACTACATGTCACTAGTTGGAAGGTACAGGAGGCCCAAATGAAAATCTGCTTTCGGCCCCAAAACGGCTTGGACCGCCCCTGCATCACAGCCCCTTAATGTCTTTTCTGATTTGTCTTTCCTCCTCCTGACAGTAAGTCTTGTTGACGGAGCTCAATCGGCGGCGCTGACCCACGGCAAGGTGGGCGTCTCACTCACAGAGGACAGACCAGGGTGACCACATCGTCTTCCTCAGCCCTTCATCCCTTCATCTAGTCTGACATGGCAGACCCCAGCATCACGTCTCCCTCCGGAACGCCCCTGCGCTCCCCCAACGCCCCGCTCACTCTCTCCTTCCCGTTCCCGCGGGAGGGGAACAGGGTGTGGCATGAAGGGAGGGAGCCCCCGCTTCCCCGCGACCTGCCCAGCCCGCTGCCGACCAAACGAAACCGCACCTACTCAGCGTACGTTAGAGAAGTTGACGCTTTCCTCCTTCATGCAGTTTACTAACAAACCCCCACCTAATAGTGGCCGAACGCTGCAGGTTAGCTTAAGGCAAAGTAGCGTTAGCTGTAGCTTGACTCGTCTCTTTAGCTATCTAGAAAAAAAATGGCAACAGTCTTTGTAATAAAAAAAAAATCTATTGAAAAGCCTCGTTGCGTTTGGAGGTGAATAATTTTTGGTACAAAACTTATTAATTAGAAGGATTTTCTATTAAATAAAGCTTTGTAAAAACTTTTATTCCACTGTGCGCTCGTATATTTTACATTACTAGCATGAGCTAAACTGTCTCATTTCCTCTTGTGGCACAGTATCCCAGTAACTTTCACAGCAGGTTAAAGGTCACTGTTTAATTTTTTTTTCCTGGTTTACCCTCCAGGAAAGCAAAACTTTGAACTTTCGCTGATTTAGAAGGGGTTTCCCTCCATTATTAATAATATTTCTGGCAATGAGAACAGATGGGATTCTGTGTTGACAGAACAGGAAACCTGTTGGAGAAAAACACATTGGGTCCGGCACCAGGCCCAGACTTTGGAGCAGGCTTAAAGGGGCAGTAACCCTGGGCCACAAGTTTTTAAGGGGTGATCCAAAATGGTTTCTTTCCTTTTTTTTAATGAATGTGTGTTTTGCAGACATTTTACTTTATATAAAATGCCTAAATTATACGAGTTGTATTATTTTAGGGTATTTTTCAATGTAAACAGTATTCAAGTATTTGAAAGTTATGGAGTTATAGTAATACTTTTTGTATATAGCACCTATTTAAGAGTTACAAAGTGTTTTACATTCAAAAAAATCTGTTGGAACAGCATCATAAATTATATATTTCTACCAAATCAATTAAAATGTATTTGATACAGAGTACCATAGTCTATGTAATCATAAACCCCCCCCCCCCCTACTATAAAATAGCACTTATTAATTATCGGGGCGTTCATAAC